GGATGTAGGTACGAGGGTGGGGGTTACGAGGGTGGGCGGATGCGGGTTTGGGGTGGAAGAGGGAGGGCTGCCGAGGGCGGGTCGAGGGCGGGTCGAGGCGAAGACGGGCTGGCAAGGCAAAATTGAGCGGAGGTGGGTACGAGGGAGTGCTAGTGCGAGGTTGGCGAGGACGGGTGCTGGTACGAACGAGGCTGGAGTTGGCGAGGGCGCGTGCGAGGTGAGCGGAGTTGGGCCGGGCCAGCGAGGGCGCGGTCTGGTGAGGGCGGATGCTGGCGCGGGTGAGACTGTATTTGATAGAAGGAGGCGCATGCACGGTGTCCGAGGAGATGGCGGGACAAAGAGCGCGTAAGTTGGCGAGGGCGAGCAGAACCTGGCGAGAACGGGTTAGGGTGGAGGGCGCGAGGGTCGAATCTTGGCGAGGTTCTGGCCAGAGACAAGCGAGGAGCAAAGAGAGCGCGACAAACGAAGGGGAGAAGACGAGAAGGAGATGGAGGTGGTGGTAGGAGACGAAGACGCGTCGAGGACTCTGGCTGAGGCCGACGCGTCGCGGTTCCGAAAGGCACGTGCAGACGCGTCGAGTCATACTGAGTCCGAGCACCGCTTCCGCGTTTCTCCGGCCCAGCTTCCGTGTCGCGTCCTGCGTCTCGACTTGCTCCCAACCGCCACAAAGTCTTCTCTCTCTCCTCGCGCTCTCCGTATGTTGTGCCGTGTACGCGTACGTTCTGGATACTCACTCGTACACAGCGGTCACGGTGCGCCGATTGGCACACGAAACAACGCACTTGTCTGCACTTGCTACGACTGGTGCAGGTCAGTGAATAGGCGTCCTACCGGTCTACCATACGACTAACGCCGGCCATTGTAGGATGTTCGCCATCCAATACTCCTTCCAGCACCTGACGCAAAGTTAACCCATCTGCTCCGCTCCTAGCTCCTACTTACCTTCACCCTACCCTCGTATGACGCTCGTACTTAACTTCACATTGTGCCCGCCAGAAATGCCCTGTTCTTTGCCTCGACCCCCGCCCCATGTACTTCCACGTACCCTTGCCAGTTCGCCTTATCCCGTGCCAGCTTTGTGTCCACCCTCGCACCTGCTAACGTTCGCCCGTGCCTTGCCTCGCCAGCTGTCCCTCGCATTCGCCCCTGCACCTATGCCCGCCC